TCACAAACCCTTCAGTACAAAACTTTGGTGCAAAAGGTTTTAGGTTTGGGTCATGCACCAGTCATTGTTTTGTACGTGTTCTCTGGGAAGACAATTTCCTCACACAGTGCCCCTTTCAATTCATCACCAAAGAATGGAGGGAAGGGAGGGAAAGAAATGAATGGAAAATTGACCTGGAAACTTAACAAAAAGCCATTATGGACTTAAAAAGAATTCTGTCCCAAGCAACAATGTGCTCATTAATTTGCATAATCTTACTGGTAACTAGCCTGAGGGCTACTAAACTTGTTTGCAAACATTCATTTTCTCTTAAAAATAAGTAGTGAAGTTCCTAGGAATACATGTCCAAATGAAGTCCAAATGAAGTATTTTGTTCTTTTGATTCATGGCGCACTCACCTTGACACCTGAAAGCCACATGATCTTCAAGTCTCTTTCTACAAATGCAGCAAAACCTTCGCCGAAAGAAAGATGGACCACTCCAACTGTGAGCAACTGGCTCCTGAAACAAAAACCCAAACAGATCAGAAAACTCCCTGAAGGCAACTCATTGGTTAAAGGTCTAAATAAGTTGGGTATGTGTATCTATAAGACGGAACAAAATAAATTGTCTGCTGATTGACAGGAAGTCTGGGAGAGTGTTGACAGCCATCCCCTGGAAGCACTATGTCAACTAGTCAACCATTTTGGTCATCATGGTGATTAGAAAAAATATTGGCTCCTAAAATTGCAGCCCAAGTTGTCATGAAGCAAGCTACATACAGCATTTGTTTTACCTGATGTAATTAAGTGTTTATACTCAAGTTAAATTGAGACAACCATTTTTTTCTAAATATAATTACATGCTGATCATAGTTTTCTTTAAGGAAAATTTGTCCCCTTCTCTTTGGTTGTGCGGATATTAAGTCTTGAGATGCCACCTGAACCCTCAAAAACAAACCTTCCTTTTCCCATTTTATTTTGCTCCTTGAACAACCAGTTTTTGACTTCAGGATGTTTGATAATGGCTTAGAACAAATTTCAACTTGGAGCCTTTCAAAAAAACTAATGATTATAAATTATGCAGAAAAAATGAGAAAGAAATAAAGAAAGAAAGAAAGAAGGAAAAAGGACAAAAGAAAAAAAAGAAAGAAAGGAAAATGAAGGAAAGATAGAAAAAGAAAGAAGAAAGGAAAATGAAAGAAAGATAGAAAAAGAAAAAGGAAAAATGAAAAAAAAATTTCAAAATTTTAATAACTATGTGACTTTCAGATATCAAACCAGCAAGCCTCACACTTGGGTTTGTCAATATCATTGTCAGTAGTGTCAATGTCTATGTTGTAGTTCAATTTTCACCTTGGTTTAAAATTTATTTTCCTTTGTTTCAAACTCATTATCATACATTAACATGACTGAGAACAAAGGAAAATAAAATTTGAACCAAGGAGAAAATTGAACTACAACATCTATACCAGAAGAAGCAGAGATAAGCAAAACATTTTCACAGTTCCTTTTACTCTACAGGTATCCAGCAAGTCAAACACCAAAAGAAAAAAATTCATTATGGACAACCTTCCCAAGATTATGTTTTTCCAATTTTTCACTAAAACAAATAATATTGGCTCCATTGATAATTAACTTAACTGATGACACTTAACTTTTCATGAAAGAGTAAAGGTTCTTATAATTATCCAGTTCCACTTAAAAAATAAATGTTGATTCCATGTTAC